AGCCGAATTGCATGGTTTATTTGATGACAATATTAATATTATCCAATACGTCGATAATATCTGCGTATATGTCTCCCATAAAACATATGAAGAATGCTACAGAGATTTGCGATATATACTATATTATCTTAATAATTGGTTATTTGAATTAGGTTTTAGTATGTCACCAGAGAAATATTCCATATGGGCTTTTCAAGACACAGAAGGAGATTTCCAGATAATATTACTATTGGTGAATATACTGTCCTTGTTGTCGAACATTACAAATATTTAGGTATTTTACTAGACAAGAAACTATTATGGACCAAAAATATACAATACTCAAAATATGAGAAAGGCATAAACCTAAAAGTTGTATGCAAGCAAACATATGGAGCTAATCCTAACATATCTATAGGTCCTACATCCGTTTTCTTAACGATTATGGGTGCACATTATACAGATCAGCATCCATTACTAACTTGTTAGATTGGATCGCATACAATACAAGGCCTTAAAAATATGCTTAGGTGCAATGAAGTCATCACCGAATCATGCAATTTTAGCTGAGACACAAGAGCCTCCGTTAGCATTTCGCAGACAATACTTGGCGAATAAAGCAGTTGTAAAATATAAATCATATAAAACGTTTGTAACAAATCAAATCTCAGCTATTACTATAGAAAACCTTACAAATAGATATTGGTAAAAAAAACGCGCCACCTCTAGCTGAAGCCTTTGTTGATACCAGTGATCTCGAAAATCATATTACTAAATACGAATGATACCCGATATTTCTTAATATATTTGAAACAATAATTGTTAAACCTAACATCATATTTCCTATAAACCCGAAATACCCTCTTTGAATAATACCATCTTGAAAAGAATACTTAATAAATTCATAGACTATGATGTAAATATATACACAGATGGATCAAAAAGTAAAATCGGAACTGATTTCGGAATTTTGGTTTCAACCACAAATTATTTTGAAAAATATCGTATTTCAGATGTCAATATTTACGGCCGAAGCTTTAGCAATACAAAAAGCACTAGAGTGAGTTGAAAACAATTCAATTGAGAAAGCTATATTATCTGACTTTAAATCGGTATTACAAGCTCTACAAGGATGCCCATTGAAACATTATAACAATCAAATCATAATTAGAAATAAGGAACCAATTAAAGATGCCAAAATAAAAAACATAAAAATACAGTTTATTTGGTTAAAGGCCACTCAGGTATTGTAGGAAATGAAATAGTAGATGAGGCTGCCAAAAGAGCATGTAGTATTGAAAACATCACAAAAACTCCTACTAATAATGATGATATCTTTTGTAAACTAAAGAAGGATATCAGGGACAGATGGTCGACTTTATATAATGAGTTTTTCTGCAGATCAAAAAACTATTACTTTTTAATATATCCCACCCTTCCAAAAGATATTTCAAATCTATATTTCTCCACTTCTAGAACATATTCTACCATCATGACCCGACTTAAACTAAATCACGGACGCTTTCCTCATCATCTAAACAAAATAGGCATTATAGATAATCCCTACTGTCATGTTGTTGCGACAATTCAAGTATGCAGACTTGAACTACCTATGCTTCCACTGTTCTTATAATAATAATGCTATAATACAATAATTATCTAAGCTAAAAAACTTTAATATTACCACTCTTCTTAATACCCTTGACAAAAACATATATTATGACTGATTAGTACCGTAAAATGGGATGAATAGAAACAGTGGGGTAATCAGAAACAAAACATTGCTAAATTTTTGGCGGGAAATAATAAATAATCAATAAGAAAAAGAAGAAGTTTATGGTCATCGTGAAGTTGGCTATACCTAAAACTAATAGAAAAATTGTAATTTGTTATGTTGGCACACCTGTAAATTCCTTTTGTTGACAGTTGACTTTGAGGTTAAGATTTGTGATTTTTTGGAGCTCCCAGAACTTTTTATGTAAGTACCAAACTACTGAATGTCACTGGTACGTTTTAAACGTTACACACAGTGTTTTAGCAATGGGTTTATGTTTAATTTTTGATATTTCACATTAGTTTGTCAGCAATAAATTTTTGTTTTTGGTGATGTTTCTATCTAGAATCTGTGGGGTGAATAGAAACAGTGTTTCTATTGACCCCACAAGTAATAAACTTATATTAGTAGGTTTGTAACTAGATGATCTGTCAGAAACGACGTTTGTGCAGTCATTTATAGTTTGTTGTATCCTTATATTATAGATAACTATTAAATAATTTGTTGTTTTTTCAGATTGTACCCGAAACATGCCTCGAAAATACAAACGAAGTAGTGAAACTACTAAACAGTATAAAAAGTACTCTGAGGAAAAAATCAATTCTAGATATACGGTCAGGGTTAAGTTTAAGAAAATCGTCAGAAAAGCATGGAATTCATTTCAGCGTGCTTTACAGACATTTCAAACGGGGAAAACAAAAAAAAACAAGGTGGACAGACGGCTTTATCTGATATGGAGAAATCCATTCTTGTAAACAGACTACAGGTATGTGGAGACTGGGGTTATCCCATTTATTCCCTGATATTAAGACTCTTAATGAAAGAGTTTTTAGATCGTCAAGGAAAAAGCATAAAAGTGTTCAAAGACAATTTACCTGGTAGGGACTTCGTATATTCTTTTATTGAAAGACATAAACAAGCCTTATCTTTAAGGATGTGCCAAAATATAAAAAGAAGCAGGGCTGCTATTTCTCCGGAGGTAATAAACGAATACTTTGACAACCTCGAGGTGGAATTAAAAGACGTACCAACTGGTAATAGCGTTAATTATGACGAGAAGAATTTATCTGATGACCCAGGGAGGAAGAAAGTTATTACCAGAAGAGGATGCAAATATCCGGAACGTGTAATGAACTACCAAATCTTCGGTTTCTGTGATGTTTGCTGCTGCTAGGGACGGCAATATATTACCTCCTTATGTGGTATATAAAGCCCTACATCTCTACCAAAGTTGGACTGAAAATGGCCCTAAGAACTCTCGTTACAATAGAACATGCCTTCTGTTTTCAAGATTGAGTTGTTGAAACTGTAGCAGTCCCCTATTTTCGAAGGCTTGATGAATAAAAGTTTTTGATTTGTGATAATTTAGCATCACATCTGTCATTGGAGGAAATTAGATTGTGTGAGGAGAACAATATTAAATTCATTTTTCTCCCAAGCAATTCAACCCACCTGACCCAGCCACTGGACGTGGTTTTTTTTCGTCTAGTAAAGATATCTTGGCGTCATAGTTTAGAAACTTGGAAAAAAGGTCCAGGTAGAAATAAGTCGACTGTTCCAAAAGACAAATTTCCTGGTTTGCTAAATCAGCTATGATCAACATTTAAACAAGATAATGTTATTTCCGGTTTCAAAAAATGTGGTATTGTCTCTATATGCCGAGTCAAAGTATTGTCAATGCTACCTAATACTGACCCCATCCAGATATTACAGATGTGTACGTTGAATCAATCGACGACACTTTTAAAGAATTATTAAGAAGTTTGAGGCAAGGAGACACCCCAAAACCCGGAACACTAGGAAAAAATGTGTTGTTCAACCAGGTAAAAGCATCGGCATACAGGAATATCAAGCAGATATCGACCCCGCAGATTTCAACCAAGCTGTAACACCGGTAGCTTCTTCAAGCAAACATCCTACTCGTTCAAAGAAAAATACAAAAACGAATGATGAAGATTCATCGTCAGTGAGCTCTAAATATTCCCTTCAAGACAGTGATGATGAATTGGACCTATCATTTTCCGAAGATAAAGAAAATTTCTTCACAAATAGTCCTACACGTAAAAGTACCGAGACCCTTCACCCTGAAGATTTTGCAATTGCGAAAGTCTACGGTAAGACCAAGCAGTCTGTTAGATTGTACGTGATCAAAATTTGTTATCTCGTTGATGATGGGTATGTGGGACTTTTTTATAAAAAGGGTGGCGAGACAATGAAGTTTTCTGTAACAACTGAAGAGTCGTTCATAGATCATGCTGATAAAGTTCGAGGGTTGTCTTCTCCCACTGTTTTTTCTTCTGGTCGATTCAAAGATATGCTTTCTTTTCCGGATAATCTCAGTGATTTGACAATATACTAATTTTATTTACTGATGTTTTTAATTTTTATGTTTTTGGTTTCTTCATCTGTTTATATTTACATATACTATGTAGATGAATATATTGAACTTTTTGTTTTTAGTTCGTCTTAAGGTTTTTGTGTTAAATAAAACTGATTTAATCAAACTGAATTTTTCTTTTGAAGTCTCTAGACACCTCACAATGCTATGAATAGATACAAACGCTCAATTAAGTATGGGTTTCTTTTGACCCCATTTGTAGGGTGAATAGAAACACAACGAAAAAAAAAATGAAATACAAATAAAAAAATTTTTAAATAATTTATAGTACACTTCATCTAGAAGAGACTAAGACCCAAGTTTTCTATTCACCCCATTTTACGGTACAATAATTTATATATAAAACAAAAATGGATATATAATATAATAATACTATAAACAATCTGTGGCAAATGGACTTTCAATCCGATGCCAACCCCCACCCACACACACAAACTTTTAGACCTCATAATTAAATTAACAATTTTGAATGCAACAGTTTTAAAAATTTGGTTTATCTCTAAGATTTTTTTAAACCCGTTTATTATAGTTTGTTTTTCTGCCGAAGATAAATAATGACAATACAATTAATTAGTTCTGAATAGAACTGATTTATTTGATTTTGAATTAGTAATGGGTAATAGCAAAAAATATAACGCAAAAAAGGTATTGTAATATTTTAAGGTTATCGATCGTGATGTGTGAAATCATTATTAAAGAAATGTCATTGTTAGACATTTTGGCCTATGCAAATTTGCCTTTAAAATAACTACTCGAAAGCTAACGTTTGAGCTCGGAAAATTCAAATCTCTTCTCCTAATTTAAAAACAGTATAATAAATATTTATAGTACCAATATATCAGTACTCACCTAAAACTTGAAAACACTGCCCTCCTGCAACACGTCCAGTAATACCAGCCAGATGTGCTCCCAATGAATGTCCAACAAGTTGAATATTGTCAAAACTCAATCCATTATTTGTAACAAAACTTTTTAGTCTTCTTCCCAAAATTTCTCCAACGGCTTCCAGCTTATTAACCACGGCAGCATAATGAATTTGGCTAGGAACTTTAGCTATGAGACTCCAATCGACCAGAAAGAAATTGACATCGAAATTGTTTAATATGTACCCTTCTATTTTTTGAGCAGTACTTCCTGGTAGACGAGGGTCTTCTTGGAATCCATGGAAATAGAAATAAGTGCCTTTATGCTTGGAAAAATAAGTCTTTGCCAAGTCTTTGGGATCTGATATGTCTACTAAAGTTGGGTTTTCTATTTCCTTGCAGTAGAAATAAATTTTGATTTCTGATTCGGAAACCTTGTGTTCATTAAAGTGCAATAATTCTAAAATTGATATTCTAGATAAATAATAAGATTTAAAATTAAATAGGGTTCTGTTGGATGAAGCTGAAACTAGCAGCCAGAGTTAGCAGCCTGTGTGAGAAAATACGTACAAGTTAGATTTCACAAAATAAAGCAATAATACTACTTAATTTGTCTTATTATAATAATATTAGTAATAATAACAATAATAATGATAATAACAAAGTGAGGATATCCGTATTTGGGAAAAAAATATTAGTAAAAATGATATGAATATAGGTACTTTAAAAAAAAAACTTTAAATATATATTCAAATTTTTCTTAACGAAAAATGATCGGTGCTGGATTAAATCATACATAAATAGATTCTTCAAGTAATAAGGTACAAGAACACATCAATCAAAAAAACTATATCGAGTGCTTGATTGTTGGAATTATTATATTTGTATGCTAAAGTAATACCTAACACAAAAAACATTGTTTTTTTAATGAAAAATTAACGGCGCTGGGTTTTATCGTACATAGATGGAATTCTCAAACAATATGCTATAAGAATTAGTTAATCAAAAGTACATTATCGAGTGCTAGAACGTTGAAAATATCAAAAAACTTTCAGGCTCCAAATACATTTCCAGTAAAAATGTGATTTCTCTCAACGAAAACCTATCGGCGCTGGGTTATATGATACATCAGTGAATTACTCAAGCAATAGGCTACGAGAATACGTCAATATAAAATACAATATCGAGTGCTAGAACTTTGAAAATAACAAAAATTAGTAAGGCTAGAGAAATATTTCTCGTAAAAATATGATTTTTCTTTAAGAAAAATTAACGGCGCTGGGTTTTAAAGTACATCGATGGAATCTTCAACCAATATGCTGTAAGAATCAGTTAATCAAAAGTACATTATCGAGTGCTAGAACGTTAAAAATATCAAAACACATTCAGTCTCGAGAGACATTTCCAATAAGAGTGTAAATTCTCCTAACGAAAAATTATCGGCGCTGGGTTATATGATATATTAGTGGATTACCAAAGCAATAGGCTATGAGAATACGTCAATATAAAATGCAATATCGAGTGCTGGAACTTTGAAAATAACAAAAATTAGTAAGGCTAGAAAAATATTTCTCGTAAAAATATGATTTTTCTTTAAGAAAAATTAACGGCGCTGGTTTTTATCACACGTAGATGGAATCTTCGACCAATATACTATAAGAATCAGTTAATCAAAAGTACATTATCGAGTGCTAGAACGTTAAAAATATCAAAAAACTTTTAGGCTCGAAATACATTTCCAGTAAAAATGTGATTTCTCTTAACGAAAAACTATCGGCGCTGGGTTATATGATACATGGGTGGATTACTCAAGCAATAAGCTACGAGAATACGTCAATATAAAATACAATATCGAGTGCTAGTACTTTGAAAATAACAAAAATTAGTAAGGCTAAAAAAATATTTTTCGTAAAAATATGATTTTTCTTTAAGAAAAATTAACGGCGCTAGGTTTTATCGTACATTGATGGAATCCTAAACTAATATGCTATAAAAATCAGTTAATCAAAAGTACATTATCGAGTGCTAGAATGTTAAAAATATCAAAAATCTTTTAGGCTCGAAATACATTTCCAGTAAAAATGTGATTTCTCTTAACGAAAAACTATCGGTGCTGGGTTATATGATACATCAGTGGATTACTCAAGTAATAAGCTACGAGAATACGTCAATATAAAATACAATATCGAGAGCTAGAACTTTTAAAAATAACAAAAATTAGTAAGGCTAGAAAAACATTTCTCGTAAAAATATTATTTTTCTTTAAGAAAAATTAACGACGCTGGGTTTTCTCGTACATAGATGGAATCCTCAACCAATATGTTATAGGAATCAGTTAATCAAAAGTACATTATCGAGTGCTAGAACGTTAAAAATATCAAAAATCATTCAGGCTCCAGAGACATTTCCAATAAAAGTGTGAATTCTTCTAACGAAAAACTATCAGCGCTGGGTTATATGATATATCAGTGAATTACTCAAACAATAGGCTACGAGAATACGTCAATATAAAATGTCTCTCAAGCCTGAATATTTTTTGATATTTTCAACGTTTTAGCACTCGATAATGTACTTTTGATTAACTGATTCTTACAGCATATTGGTTGAGGATTCCATCTATGTACGATAAAACCCAGCGCCGTTAATTTTTCTTAAAGAAAAATCATATTTTTACGAGAAATATTTTTCTAGTCTTACTAATTTTTGTTATTTTCAAAGTTCTAGCACTCGATATTGTATTTTATATTGACGTATTCTCGTAGCCTATTGCTTGGGTAATCCACTGATATATCATATAACCCAGCGCCGATAATTTTTCGTTAAGAGAAATCACATTTTTATTGGAAATGTATTTCGAGCCTAAAAGTTTTTTTGATATTTTCAACGTTCTAGCACTCGATAATGTACTTTTGAATAACTGATTCTTATAGCATACTGGTTGAGGATTCCATCTATGTACGATAAAACCCAGCGCCGTTAATTTTTCATTAAAAAAACAATATGTTTTTTGTGTTAGGTATTACTTTAGCATACAAATATAATAATTCCAACAATCCAGCACTCGATATTGTTTTTTTGATTGATGTGTTCTTGTACCTTATTACTTGAAGAATCTATTTATGTATGATTTAATCCAGCGCCGATCATTTTTCGTTAAAAAAAATTTGAATATATATATTTAAAGTTTTTTTTAAAGTACCTATATTCATATCATTTTTACTAATATTTTTTTCCCATTATTTTTGTTATTATTACTAATATTATTATAATAAGACAAATTAAGTAGTATTATTGCTTTATTTTGTGAAATCTAACTTGTACGTATTTTCTCACACAGGCTGCTAACTCTGGCTGCTAGTTTCAGCTTCATTTCTGTTGGGGGACCTTTTTAGAAAAATTTTATTGCATTTACTGCCAACTATACCAAAGTTATTAATTATGCTAACAAAAAGCAGAAGTTTTCAACAGTTTTTAATTAAATAAATCACACGTTATTAAAATAAAAAAAAAATGGCAATTTATGTTATTATTTAATATGTAATGTAGGCGATCTTTGGCTTTCTTGCTTCTGCTTGCTACTCAATCAGACTGCATTTCTTAAAATTGATCAAAATATTCTTTTTTCTTTTAATTTTTGTTTCTGTAAGTATACAACCAGCAGGCCACGGAATAATTACAGGTGTAAATACATAATAGAACAATAAAATGTAAAAGTAGTATTACAAGAATTATTCAAGTTTGGTTTTATACCCACTAGTTAGATAGCAAATGGGGAATACTCGTAACAACTAGGTAACTCGAATTTTTGTCATTTTGAGTTATCTACTTTTACCGACACGCTCTTTTTGATGCTACAATTCGATAAGTTTTTATTCCGACTCGATAGCAGAGAAATCTAGTGTTAAGTCCGAAAAACATTGCTAAAAGTAGTCAGCACAATAAGCCAACACAATAAGCCAATAGGCTTCAGTGTTATTCGGAGACATAGTCAGACGAGCCAAGGGAAAAATTTTTATGCAACAAGTTATCAATTTGAAATACCTAATTGTACGTCTGGCTAACTTGATTTGTTGACTGCCCCTTCCTGAGTTTTTTCAAGATACTTATTTATGCAGTTGTTTGTAGCGGCAGTTGTGTGGTATTATTGTTGCCCTAGTTTAGTAGTTTGAGTAATTTTTATGTAAAAAAAAAATATTAGAAATGTCTACAAGAGCAAAATATATATTATCATTTGCACGTAGCCAGCCAACATAGACCAAAGGGGAGTTTATCATCATCATCTGAATTAGGGCGTGGTTCAAAGCCCACTTGTACTGAAGCTCTAGGCTTATTGTACCCCTCACAGTTTCTATCCTATCAGATTGATTTTCTTGATGAATTCAAGAATATATCTGATGGGCGCTTTCGTGATTTCTTCAGGTTCCGGATATTGTACCCCGAAGTACTATTCCCGTTCCCATGTAAGGTTCCGGCAGTGGCATAGTATGTGAATAGGAGTTTCGTCCTCCTCTTCGCATATTCTACATAGAGAGTCATCAGATATCCCTAAGAGATTTAGGTGTCTTCTAAGGCCGCAGTGTCCCGTAAGGAGTCCTATTACGGCCTTGAGTTCGCTTCTGCTAAGGTTTAGCAGTTGATGTTGTCTGCTCGTGGATGGCCCCTCTATGAATCTTTTGGACTGTCTAAGTCCTGAAAGTTCCATCCAGAGCCTATGGTGTTCTCTTTTTATTTGTTCCTTTAACACCCATTTAACATGTTGGTATGAGATACCACATGTGGGTTCTGGTCCAATAAGAGTTTTTTCCGCTCCCTTACTTGCTAGGAGGTCTGCTTTCTCGTTTCCAAACACTCCCTCATATCCTGGCACCCATTCAAGAGTAACCTTGTTATGTTCTGCCAGAGCTTGGAGGGATTGTTGGCAATCAGATATTGATTTAGATTCTACTTCTACCCTTTTTAGTGCTTTAAGGGCTGCCTGACTGTCTGTCATGATAACGATTCTCTTATCTCTAAGAGAGTCATTTATCATGACTTTGGCGCAGGCATTTATTGCTGTTACTTTAGCCTGGAAGACTGTTGTCAGTGACCCCAGGTTCAAACTAATTGTCCTCCCTGAGTTTACATGGTAGATCTCAGCTCTTGTGCTGTTTTTAATTTTCGAACCGTCTGTATACCCGATTTATTCGTTTTGTTTTTCCCTTTTTTCCCGGCTTTTGGCCCCTTCTGGTATTTGAATATTAAAAGGTTTCCTGAAGTTGTGAATAATGGGCGTTCTATCCGATGGCATTCTTAGTACCAGATTTTGTTTTAATTTCTCTAAAATCATTGTATGGTGTCCTTTTCTCGAAAGTTCCCATCCAAATCCATTAGTAAACAGCCTGCATGCCGCCGCCATAGCCTCCTTTTCCACCACAAGGTGTAGTGGAGGAAGACCTAGCAGTAGCTCTCTTGCTGCTGTGCGCGTAGTTCTAAATGCCCCTGTTATTATTAGGCAGGCTAGTCTTTGTACCTGGTCTAATTTTCTGTTAGCTGTTATGCTTTTAGTCTTGTGCCACCATATGACTGATGAGTAAGTTATAACCGGTACTACAACCATAGTGTAAAGCCAGTGCATCATACTTGGTTTAAGCCCCCATGCGTTCCCTACCATCCGTCTACAAGCCCATAGTATTCTTACAGCTTTTTCTGTTGTTTTTTCTATATGACTGCAGAAGCTAAGCTTGTCATCGAGAGTGATTCCAAGATATTTAACCTCCTTTGCCATTTTTAGATGCTGTCCCCACATATAAAGCTCCTTTATTCCTTGAAGGTTCCTTTTTCTTGTGAATGCAACAACAGAGGTTTTTGATGGGTTTGTGGACAGCCCTCTTTTAGGCACCATCTTTTAATTTTTTAGAAAATGATTTAAATAAAAGTTATTTGTGATACCATTCTCTATTATTCTTATCCTATACAAAATTTCTCTAAAATGGAGTATTCGAGATACAAAGACAACTCAAAAACAGATAAATAATTGATAATTTAGGCTTTAATCCAACCTGCGGTATATTAATAAAATTTTTGGGCATTGTCGGGAAATCTGGGGGTACTTTATAGAAGGTCGTTTTTCTACTTTATGGAATATATCTGTTGTTAACGCTTAGAGAAGAAAATTCTTCAAATAAAAGTTGCTTGTAATGTTATTGTCTATAATTTTTGTTATGTACATAATGGTCCGTATTCGTGAAATTTAACAAAAAGTTCAAAATTCTAATTTTTAAAAAAAATGTTAAAATAAAAATTGTTTGCGATGTCGAAATTTTGTATTATACGTGATTTTTCAAAAGTGAAAAAATTTGAGAAAAAGTGTAAAATTTTAATTTTTGGGTATTTTCGTTGGCAATGATTAAGTATAAAAACATTGTTCGAGTAAGATGTATGTGGAAAATGTATATTATATTTATTTCGTCTGCTGAACATTTGCAGGGGTGATACCGAATAACCGGAAAAAGCCTTTAAAAACTAGACAGGAAAGTTATGTGTTGGACGCATCAGATTTTTTTATAATAGAGAAAGAAAGAGAATTGGAAATTACATGAACTTTAAAATCTAAAGAAGACATTTTAACACCTGTTTTACATTTTATGAAATTTAAATATTGTTTTAAAATTATCAATGGACTTTCTCTTTAGTGTTTAATAAAAGTATTGCGAAAATTATTAATTATTAATATTGAATTTCTTGAAAATATTGACGATTTTATATTTTAGGGCCTACAAAGTGTGAATAGCCCAAAAATAAATGAGTTACAGAAAGTGAAGACATGAATTTGAATTTTATCTGTAATAAACTTTATTTTTTATTTGTTTTATTGTTGTCTTCGGCTTAGACCATTAGCCTCGTGTTATGCGTAGGTTATGGAGTGCTAGTACTCTAATAGTATAGGAGTTCCAGTACTCTAATAGTCCTAAATGCCTAGGTATATATATTGTTATTGTTTTCCAGTGCCACTTTAGGAACACCACACTTAATTAGAACCCAACAGTAAATGGTCGAAGTGTGAAATACTATCAATACGATGTCTATAATCCAACCCAAGCATTATAATTATTTATTTTTAAATAAATTAAATATTTAAAACAAAACGTTATTTCGTTCGAATCAAAATTAAAAAATTACTGAATAAAAGAGGCTTTCTTATTATTCCCTTTATTTTATTGATAATTAATAATACCTACCCTTCAAAATAAACAAGCTGTTTCGTTAAAATTCCAATATTCTTAGTGTTCTATCAAAAAAATAGATTGAGAACCCCTAACATAGGAGAAGAAATTAAATATGAAACTGAACCAATAATTATTAAATAATGATTACGTAGAAACTGTAATACAAAGAAGAATAGCTGAGTTAAAAGTGTAATACATATGTAAAATAAGATTTAAATCATAAACACAAACAACTATCTTTTTTCAGGAATATTTTTCATTGGCTGTCAGAATTAAAATAAAATATTCTACCTTAAAAACTTACCTGTTGCTGCTAATCCAAGTGTGGCTAACAGCAGACAAACCAATCTGAAATACATTTTGTCACGCCTGTAAAGCTATAAAAATAACATTTTCTATCGGTGCAGGTGTTTTGAAAAATGTTTTTGAAATATTATCTACCACCGACTAATGCAACACATGTTTCAATTTAAAAAAAATACCTATCAAGTTATTATCTGGAATTCGTGACCAATTAATATGCAAAAAATTTTGTAGTAACTAAATATTTGTGAGTAATATGTGAATAATATTTAGTTTATAATCGATTTAATTACACGATTTTATACATTATAATGTATAAAATACATAAAATATATTATAATAATATATTAAAATTATAATATTATAATAATATATTAAAATACATTATAATGTATAAAATATCCTCAATAAATGGGTCACATATATTTTGTCCATGTACAAAAAAAAAAAACTTGGGGCTTGCGTGGAAACTGAGAGAAATCTATAGTTGGAGGATAGCCGAACGGCCTGCAGCGATTTCTTATCCTATTATCACCGAATACCCAATAAGATGAAGCTGACCAACTTCCCAATACAAAGGTGTTATGCCATCCGTGCCGAAAATATGCCTAGTGAGGGGGGAGCGCCATCGTAAATAGATCCTTCGGGATACCAGACAACCTCCCGGTAGTAATGAGTCTTACTACGATAATGCGGTGCCCTACCGCAGTTTACCACCCCTTCCCAAAGCTACCTGTATAACTAGAACCATTCATGTAACAACCTAAACGACGGAGACAATCCCCTTAACCGACAGGAACCGATGGAGGTTACCCTAACCGCTTTCACTTACGTCATTTTGGAGGAGTTGGAGGCGGTGCTACGTTTATCACCCAACTCTAATGCAAATAAAACCTCACCCACCCATTAACAATAAGCTCTTTTTCCGAGCAAATCTCCAACCCGGCAAAACGGCCTCATATGTTCTTGGCATAAGGTTTATTAAGGAGAGACTAGTCATTGGGTTTATCCAGGAGCCTTTATCTGGTAAATTGGTAGCCGGTAACTCTAGGGACAAACCAAGAACAGGGCTTCTTATAGGAAATAAACACATCGCCAAAATTCTTGGACCCCCTTATGTTTGCCAAAATGAGACTTTATTATTAAAAGTCAAGAACTGTGTTACATAGTACTTTTAATTTGGTTTATGTATCCAATACAAATTGACTGAATTAAATTTTAACTGAACAAGAAAAAATACAAACAAAAAATAGTGCATAATAAAATTATTACTAGAATTTGAATTCCAGAAGAAAACCACTTTAGACCAAAATCAAAAATGTAATAATATTTGGTGTGTTCTCCCCTGTTCTGTAGTAAGGTGCTAACTCGCCTGTGCATGCAAACAATAAGGGTGTTAATGTAATCCATTGGTATGTTGTTCCATTCTTCTTGGGCCGCGACTGTGAGTACGTCGAGGGTGATAGGAGAATTAATTCTATTTGAAATTGCTTCTCCAACGAAATCTCACCTGTGTTCAATGAAATACATATCTGGCGAATTTGCTGGCCACGGTAATCTTTGAATATTCTGAATTTCTAGTGCATTTTGTACCCTTCTCGTGTGATGGGGCCTACCATTGTCATCTATGAAAATAAAATTGGCTCCAGTTTCATTTCGGAGAGTATATACAATGGGTTCAATAATGTTTCGAACAATTCTATCAGCTGTCATAGTGTCTGGAATGGGAATAAGCTGCGTACGATGACAATGCATTATGGCTCCCCAAAACATTACTGTTCCTCCTTGGTATGGAACGACTTCTCTGGCAAATGATAGTCTTTTTGGTCGCCCTGGCCCTCTCCAAACTCTGTGTCGCTGACTATCACTAATTAAAACATATATGGTTTTGTCCGAAAAAAGAACATTTCGCCACTGAGCTAAAAGCCAATCTCGTGTTCCTGTGTCCACTGTAGACGAGCAGCTATATGCCTGGGAAGTAACCTGGGTGCTCTTAATGGTCTCTTAGATCGTAAATTGGCTCCAGCAAGTCTCCGCCATATTGTGGTACTGGAAATGAATTGACCATACGTTCTTCTAAAATAAGTTTGGACAGCTGAGACTGTTACGGTTTGATTCCGACATACATAACCTGCTACATACCGATCTTCTCTTGGATTAGTTGCCCTAGGACGCCCAGTCCCACGTCTCCAGTCAAAGGTGTTAGTTTCCTAGTACAGACGCACTATTCGGATAACTGAAGCGCGGGGAATCCCTAATATATCTGCGATTCGATGATTCGGCAGACCCTCATCATGAAAAGCCACTATTCTTGCTCTATTGTACACTGAAATTCTATTGACAGGCATAGTTGCAAAAAAAAACTCAACAATCACTTAAACACGCAAAATCAATATGAACCACTTTTTAAACATTGGTACCTAAAATTGTGCGAAATTGTTTTTGTAAAGATTTGTAGATGCGTATCAACGGTGAAATAAATAAAGATTAAATATACAAAAAAATCAGCCATGATAAATATTTCGTTTTAATATTTACGAGGGGGGGTCCTAGAATTTTAGCGATGTGAATATAAAATTATTTATGTTAACAGGTTACTACAGCTCTGATGTAGTTGCAGTCTAGTTATAGATCCTGGCATGATACAACAATAGGGATATCGTCATCTGCTCTGCTCACTTTCCAAGAGACGAAGGTCAATACCAACCACCTCCTCCAAAAATAGTACGAGAACTAGATGCCATTGGGTGCGACTCTAACGTCCACCATAGGGACAGAGGAGGTACGAGATGAGCAATTAGATAATTATATATTCGGTTTAGGACTTACTGTTTACAATGTACGCTTTGAACAAACTTTTCTAACAAAAATCGTAGTAGAAAGTTCTAGACCTAATAATCCTTACGCAGTTTATGAGGTAAGTTGGGGATATATGGAACAGCCGGGGTTATATGCAACAAACGTGCAAAAATTAAAATTTACCGCTTTGTCACGAAATCTGTCAATTATGTTTGGAGAAATATCTTTTCTTGGGTTAGTACAGAATTTTGTTTTGATATTCCACCACCTTTTTATCCGATAGAGATAGAATATATGCGCAATGAAGGTATTTCTAATACATAACCTAAACAATTACCCCACAAACTTTAATTATTTTTAAGGTGTCCCAATTTTTTTTAAAAATGTTTTTTATGAAAAGTAGGGTTTTCTAGGGATAATATGGAATGATGCCACGGAAACATAAGCATGTCCCTGGAATAACCTATAAAAGAAAAAGTGACCAAGAAAATAATTACATGGCCCTGGCTAAATTTGTTAATAACCATTTAATTTTTGAGCAGGCAGCTACTCGCTTTAGTGCTTCCAAAACAACTTTATATAAGATATATAGAAAAAAATATTCAACTGAATTGGGTAGGCCTAGTGCATTAAGCAAAATGGAAAAAAGATATATAGCTAGTGTAATGATTAGAGCTGCGGGATAAGGATTAAATGAGATATTGAAGACTTTGTTTCATCATATTTAAACCGCAAAGAAGTGATAATTGGGTGTTTCTTTTACTAAGAGATGCTTTGCCAGAGAACATAGTAAACTTCGACGAAACCAACTTTACCGATGACCCAAGGATAGAAAAAGTTAAAAAAAATAAACATACTAGACGGATATTAGACAATTCAAAATCATTAAATTTTGTAATGTTTGCTGCCACTGAAGGAGTTGTATGTTATCTACCAGACAAAACATTTATATTCAGAGTGGATTGAAGGAGGGCCATCTGGAACCATTTATAAAAAATTAAAAAGTGGTTGGTTTGATGGACCTATTTTCAAAGACTGATTTTTTAACCCTTCAACGGCGAGATTAATTTTTTTAATGTAGAAATGATAAAACTAATTGTAGGTATCAAAAATAGTTTATTATTAAGGTATTTATACATTAAAAAAAACTGATATTTTGGTTATATTCTATATATTTTGTGTTACATATACGTAACTTTAGCCATTCATGGCACACAAAAGCAAGGGCAACATAATTATTTTTTATGAAAAATTACATTACATTGTAAACATAGCTCAACATTACACTTGATACACATGGTGCGGGTGCTCGTATTGCATCCCTCTCCAGCGCAACGACGTCTTTTATTGTTTGGAATATTGGTTAGCAAGTGGTCATGTCGATCGTATCTCACATTGTCCGAAACTCTGTTGATTGTAACACTGGATTTGGCAGTCGTTTGTCTCCCAACACCTTTTGGCGCCACTCCGAATTTAGTAAGATATGCTTAAGAAATTTCTCTTCGAAACTCTAATTGTGTAAGCGGTGGTAGATGCTTGAGCTTTTTGGAAAGACACCAAGCATTTGCCACGGAAACATCCAGAAACCAGGTAAAAATGGCCTACCATTACTTTTTTCGTCTGATTGAAATCCTGTACCTCATATCTGTTCCACCCATGTAGCGATTATACTCAGCAATTAGTCGGGGTTGCGATACTTGAACGATTTTTTTTTTCAGCCTGAGAGTAACGCTTCACCTGAATGGTTAGGTTGACTCCATGACATGTAGACGCCACTGTCACTACGTTATTGTTTATCCATTTTACCAAAATAATTCCATCCTCTTTATCCTCAATATTTGAAACCATGTCTCCCAGTTTCTTAGTTTTGGTAATCTGTTTCTTTTGCGGTAATTTACAACTTTTTGGTACTCTGTTTTCTCTCATCGTTCCCGTGCCTTCGTAACCCTTTTGTTTCAGGTTTAAAAGTAAATTGAAATTTGTGAAAAGATTGTCAAAGTAGAATTTGAAGGGAAGCGTCTTCATGTGTTTGGGAAACTCATCAATCATGCACATCAAAGGAGCAGCACATTTTCCAAAATTATTTTCATAAACCGTGTTTTCTCTTGGATTTTTCCCCTGGTACATATCGAAGTTTACCAAGTAACCGGTCGCAGAATTGAGGCACCACATCTTTTACCCAAACCTTATGGGCTTGCCTCGTATAAATTGTTTGCACGAATGTTATTTTTACTAAAAATTTCATGTTGATATCGCTTTTCGTTTTTAATTTAGGATATTTTTTTAATTTCAAACCATCTTAACCCCCTATTTTTATTCAGATTTGTTAAAAATCAATAGGCTGTGTCCTTATAGAGCATGATTTTTGCTTAAAATGTTCAAGTTGATATCATTTCTCGTTTTTGACTTATCGTGCAGACAAAAAACATGACATTGGACAGACAGACAAAGTAAACCTATAATACTCTTCACAG